TAGGGAATTGCTCTCTCTGTTATTGATCAATTGTACAAGATACAACATATATATAGAGATACAACATTAGGGTTTAGGTTAAAAATTAGGTATTCTAGAACTACTAATAGGCCATATAATGAACATCCATATATTACATATAATTATTCATAACAATTTCAGCATTTTACGTAATTGTTTTTTGTCGAAGGGCTTTCAGCATTTTACGTAATGCGAGACACACACATTCATTTGCTTCTCAAATAATATTTTCGTGTCATCTACTTTATATTTTTACTTACCTTAATCCCGTAGTATTTTTAAAATTGTTTTTCATTAGTCAATCATCATATAATTTTAGACAGTCTAACAAAATAAATAATTCCTTCAATCCTCCGGAAGTTAGCAGTACATGCAACCATCTTCCACATATGGAAACAGCGCAAGAACGTCCTCCACAATTTGACATCGATACCTCCTGCCACATTTTCAAATGCATCGATCGAGAAACCAAAAACATCATCACCTCTAGAAGAATCAGACGCAATTTTCAAAAGTTAATGGCGTATAGGCTTGCGATAAAATCTACCTAAATTTTTTCAAGGATCTTTTGATTTCCTTGTTTTTATATTTTTTGCCAAAGAACTATATATGTAAAACCTGACTGTTCATATTAATGATATTTACATGCATTAGCAAAAAAAAAAATAATAATAATAATATAATTGGACAGTAAACAAAAATGTCTCCTTACTCCTTTTTTTTGTGCACCAACATTTATAAATTACTAGTCATCCTCAGAGAGGGAAATGTTACAAAAGAAGGGGTCAGAGCCTTCAAAGCCATCAAACTCGCTGCTACAAGAGCAAAGCGAAACACAAGGGTAGTAGATAGGAGGATAGATCAAAGCAATCCTAGCACTTAAACAAAAAACATTATCGCGGAGTCCTTGAACCTTGATAATCCTAGTGCTAATAAGTGAGAAGACGCCTTGGACAACACAACACACAGATAGTGATATGCTGCTCGTGATTGAATCTGCCACTAGGCAAGCAAGACAATCCCAAAGTTGGCAAGCAAAACAGGGGTGACAAAGCACCAATTTGCAGAGTCGTTGAAACCAACAGAGAGCGAGGTCTCTGAAGAGCATCCTTCCAGAACAAAAGCTGGTCGCGCAACACAAGGGCAACAATAAAGGAGCCATGGAAGCAAGGATGAAGGTGTGATGAAACTCTCCTTATAATAGGAAAAAGGAGCAAGAGACCTCTCCTGACCATGGCAGGAGGAAGATTGGCTCTGTGGAGGCAGAGCGTCTTGATGCTTCAAATAGGAACGGAGGATAGAAGTATATCCAATCCCATATGAACGAAGGATAGAAGTATATCGAGACCAAGAAAAATATCCAAAATAATAGGACCAAAAACTTGAGCCCATGGAGGAACTAAAAAAGGCCCATACTGAAGTAAGTATGGACCAAGCCCAACAAGGATACAATCTCAGCACACGTACCGAGAAAAGACCTAGGGCATCCACCGGAGCTTGGCGGCGGCTAGCTGAAACGAGGGTTGTAGTTGGAGCGGATGACGACATCGAACTTAGATGAGCCTTGGGAAGTGAAGATGCGGCGGAGACTGGACCAACGGCGAAGGCTTGGGTTAGATTTAGATTGCTGTAGCAGGGAAACGCGGCGGAGACACCAAGGCGGACAAGGCAAGTAGAGGACCATTGTTGAATCATTGAGGACATATCTGCCTTCGAGAAGAGCAGAGAGACGCCGGCGGTGAAACTTCTACACCGCAAGATCTGGGCGAGAGATAAGAGACACTCCGTACCAATCAAAGGTAGAGAGGCACATGAAACGTTGCTGTCAGATCTCGCACGACGGAGCCACCCGAGCGCAAAGATGTTGGCATCAGGAGCGGTCCTCAAAAGCCTCATGAAATGGCCGGGAACAAAAGCGAAAAACTGAAACGAGAGCAAAGGTAACACAAGAAAGCCAAGATGAATGGTAAGAGGAACGACGGTCCGACGCCGGTGAGAAACGGCTCTCCCGGCGTCGGAAAACATGGGCGAAAGTGGTTCCTCGATAATCACGCCAGAGAGAGTTTTTTGTGTTAAAGATAACTTAATAAACGATTTTTTATGTTACAAATCCTTTACGTCTCCTCACTCCTATCATATGATAATAGATCAAAAATCTGATATTTTGAAGAAACCCTCCTTTTTCTGATTAATTAATTATTTTTCTAACAAAAAAAAGAAACTATTAACTATTAATTTTTTAGAAGATAAAAAGTTTCTGTTATTTATCATTATAATTCCATGTCCCATTCGCGACGTAGGTTATTAAATAAGAATTTAGTCCAAAATATCTTAACATATCATGTTATACATTGCTTGTCAAGCTTCATTTTGAATTTTTGGTTTTAGTCGAGCTCTATTTTACATGGAAAGAGATATTAAAAGTGTGATCAAAAGATATCTATAAAGGTTGAAAATTCTACTACGACAAGTTTAGTATTTTTTTTTCTTTTTCATTTTCATGTTTTTTTTAATTAGTTAATTGATACTGATGTGTCTACAACTAAACCAAACTATACATTAGTTACACAAATATAATACGTACGAACCTACAAATCATTTATCATTTATTGCTAAAGACATGCATATATATATATATATATATATATATATATATATATACAAAGCACAACAACTCTACATTGATATTAGCGGGGGAAAAACAACAACTAACTCTTCATAGACCTATTAGATATATGCTCGTGATATTTGAGTTCTTACAAATGACATTCTACTAGATATAAGAGACAAATTTTGTCCTGGATCTGGATAGACAAAATGCAGTTTGCAACACGCAAACTACATCGGAAGATCTAATAGACTTTTATCAAAAAAAAAAAAAAAAAGATCTAATTGACCAATTAGAAAATGTGAAAAAGGGAACTATTAATCGCAAAAATTGATATATTTTAAACTGGGTCTGTATAGAAATTGTTTGACACTTATTTACTTTTTACTCTAAACCGGTTTCATTTATTATGAGAAAAAAGATTTATATGAACACTACACTAAAACAAAATTACCTCATTAATATAATGCTCTCATACCACCATATTTAGGTTTAACTTTAACCCTAGTAACTTTCTTGTAATAGAAAAAAAAATCTTGTAATAAAAATTAGAGTAAAATATAATAGTGTAATGAGAGTGACGAATCTCCACAATATAGTTCAATGAGTCAGTGACCAACAAAATAAAAGTAATACTAGTAAGGAAAAATGGAAGATTTATTATAAGACAAATAGACTAGCTAGTGGGTTTGACATGTATATAGCTCAAGTACAATGGCTGCACTAGATCATCACGAATCTAAACGGTCGGCCATGCCGTGGAATCTAACAAAACCGGTCATAATCTATATAACACATTACATTATAATCTATTGCTACAACGATTCTTAATTGTTTGATGTATATTCAATCAACAATTAAATGCTATTATATATATATATATATATATATATATCTAAAACAAATAAAACACACATTTCGCAAAATATTATCGCAAAATCATACTTTTAAATATTTTTGCACATTTTGGTTTAAAAAAATTATATATCTAGTTCAATGATGCTTGAGGTTGAGGTCATGAGCAAATGCAAAAGACATATGAAATGCTCACATAATTCATGATGGTTTGTGTCACTAATTTGATTATTATTGAACCAAACATGCATGTTGTTCTTGATTGTCCTTCCTCATGGTCACCATAATCATCGTCTGCATTTCTTTTCCCGGTCGTGGAAAATTTTCTGTTTTTGTAACTGTGGGACGTTTGTAACTTCTGGGCCTAAACTCATTTGGGTGTGGGTCTCTTTTAATAAACAAGTTTAAAAAAAAAATAAAAAAAAATCAATCGTCTTGCAAATCAAGGTTGCTTTTATGCCTAAATCACACCTCCAACTCCAAGGGATGAAAATGCCAAGGTGTTTGACTTATCCCAAACTCTGTTTTTTTTTTTTTTTTTCTTTTTTTTGGGTCAAACCATTGCATTCAAATTAATCCTTAAAACATGAGAATCCATACAACTTGAAACCGAAAAAACTATAAGAAATGTAAAGATAAAGACTTGAATTTTTTTCCAAAGAAATGCTTAACTGCAAAAAGCTTGCATTAAATTTAACGGAAATATCTCTAGACGTCTGGAGTCTGGACGGATTTATAATTGAAGACAAACTTAAAAAAATTCTAGACCAACTTGTGGTCAAAAACGGTAAAGCCCAATACTGGTCCAATCCCTGAAACCTAGTAACATTATCGACAGCTTGATCCCAAACTCCATACAAGTTTACATATTAACCCAAGAAATAAAGGTTTGGCCCACTTTATTGTACTGTTAATTTTTTTTTTTTTTGTTGTTGTTTGTCAAGTAATGATTAGACGATTAACCACATTTTCGATTCCTAACACAACCATTACGGCATTACCCTAAGTATCTTGAAATTCAATTTAAATATATTTCTCCTAATTACTTTTCGTGTGTCCTTTTCTTGTGGTGTATACGTATGTGGTTAATGGGGCTTTCGAGAAAAGAAAAAAAAAAGGTGTGAATACAAAACATTGGAAACTAAGTATATGCACAAAACATTGGTAATCGGTGATTTGATGTGTTCCTTCTTCCTAAAAAAAACCTTAAGAATTTCACTTTTAAAACGAAATCAGATTTTGCTCTTTTCGCTTGAAAGTACTTGTAGACAAAGATATAATCTGAATTATCATAACGTTTGTTTGATATCATTACGCTTTTTTTTTTTTTTGTAAAAAAAATATAACTTACCAATAATCAACTTTTTTGGTTCTGGTTCTGTATGATTCGTCAATAATTGAAACAACAATACCCAGTAACAAATATAAACCATAGAAAAAGAATATGATATGAAGTTCCATAGAGAAAGAACTAGTATCAAATTCCGATATAAATTATACCATTTGTCTCCAGCTTCCTAGGCCGGCAAAGTATGAACCCTTCCACTTTCCAATTTGTTCGGTCAGAAATAGATTTATATTCCACATTTTCTCGCAGCTTATATATAGACACACACACTTAATGTATGTGGAATTTGAAATTTATATTGATATAGTAAAATGGGATGTGTATGCAGCAAGAACTTAGAAGGAAGAAGGCATGAAGACATTACCCTTCTTGCTTCTCAAACCTTTTGTAAGTCATGTCTACTTCAAAAAATCCACCACTTCCGCCTATATATACACAATAATACTGACACATGTGTATTTACTTGCATGGAAAAATAATACTTTTACTCGAGTTTGTAGAAAATAACATCATCTTAATTGTTTTGGGTTTGCAGTTAGCGAGGCTGAGGTTGAAGTTCTGCATGAATTATTCATCCAACTCACTTCTTGTCTCAGCAACGACAATCTTTTGACCAAAGTTAGACACCAAACTAAATTATTTTTCCACAATGTGAATATTAATTATTATAAATATAAGTGTTTATACTACTTGTCGAAAAGTTGTGTTAGTGTTATATCGAATGTGGTTGGCTTTTTCAGGAACATTTTCAATTCATCTTAATCAAGAATACCAATAGGCGCAGTATTTCTGCTGACCGGGTAAGTTTCTAATGAATTTCTAATATATTAAGCGGAAAAACATATAAACTTCGATTGATGTTGTTCATACGTAAAACTTCTTAATTCTCATATCTGAAATGTGCAGATTTTCGGATTATTCGATATGAGAAACGATGGGGCAATAGATTTTGGAGAGTTTGTACATACTCTCAACATTTTTCACCCAAACTCATCCCAAAGAGATAAGGCCATATGTATATACTTCATCACTTATAATGTGTTTATTCATTTGTTCCATGTTATTATTATTTTCTATATGAAGATCAATGTTATTAATTATAACCACAAATAATATATCTGATCACTTGTTTATAACTAAACAGTTGCATTTAGATTATACGATACTCGTCAGACTGGATTCATTGAACCGGAGGAGGTACGTTTCGTAATATTATATTCGTCGTTTCTAAAAAAAGGAAAAAGTATTTAAGCGATGATTAATTATATTTTACGGTTTTCCTCGACTTGGAGAAAATTATAGGTTAAAGAGATGATAATAGACGTTCTAGAGGAATCAGAACTTATGCTATCCGAGAGTATCATCGATTCTATCGTGTCTAAAGTATGTAATGCTTAATTTTTGGTGCCCCTTTAACATTTTTAGTTATTTTACTTACTGTTTTTGTTTACATTTATTTTGGCAAGACATTTGAAGAGGCGGATTGGAAAAAGGATGGGAAAATAGATTTAGAAGAATGGGAGGATTTTGTTGCCAACTATCCTTTGACACTAAAGAACATGACTATCCCTTTCTTGAAGTAATTCGTTTGTTTGTTTTTTCCTATATATATATATATACAGCAAATATATAGTTTAGGGAAAGATGAACCATTTCCTTAATATTCGCTGATAAATTGCATTTTTTAGAATACATCTTTCAAGAACCAGCTTCTATATATATATGTAATATGTGTGTGTTTATGCATAGATTATCTATATGTAGACTTTGTTTGTTTTTTTGTGTAGAGTTTGTTTGTTTGTTTTTTTTTGTGTATATCAGATCATTATCTTTGAAAACTAAGACATTTAATTTACTCCAAAGTCTTTTTTGTTTTCAGGGACATACCAAGGATTTTTCCAACATTCTTCCGGTAAAAATCAAATAAGATGTTTTTGCTTTGTCTCGCTACAAGTTTTTTTATTTGAAAAATACTCCCTCCGTTTCAAAATATAAGGCGTTTTGGAGAAACTTTTTTGTTTCATAATATAAGTCGTTTTCAAGTTTCTATGCAAATTATATATTACTTTAATATTTTATAATTATTTCTATTATGCAATATCTTTTATGATTGGCTGAACTTTAAAAAAATAGATTTTCTTAATCTGCGTGCTTTTAGCTAAAACGCCTTATATTTTGAAACGGAGGGAGTATTTTTATCTGAAAAGCTACGTATGTTATTAATGAAAAGAAAAGAGAAAGTTATTACATAACCATATTAAACTATCTAAAGGAATCGTCTTACCAAAAGGAATCGTCTTACCTAAAGTTAAACTATCTAAAAGAATCGTCTTACCTAATATCTTTAATGTTTAACAAGGATAGAAAGTAATTGTTTTTAACCACAAAAGCTAAAGCTTGATATGAAAAGTTAAAAGCACATATAGGTTTGTGAAGACAAAAGATGTTTTCAAAAAGAAAAAAGGAAAGAAAAAGAATAAATTTGTGGAAAGTCGAGGAAAATGAGAACACGGAAAATTGAATATGATATAAGTTGGCAAAAAGAAAGAGAAAAAATCGGCATGATATTACAATCAAATTTTTAAATCAGGTTAATTAATCAAATTCACGATGATTCTAAAAAACGTTTGAATAGCAGTGAGTTTAAAATCAGTTATTCAAGTTAGTTTTGGTTATTAACAAACCGAAAAAATGAAAACAAAATATTGAGACTCGCAGAAAATATTTTCTGTCAAATATTCCAGATATATAAATAGACATTTTTTTTACATATAAATAGACAATTTCAAAAATGTGGTAAATTGTATCGTTTTTATTTCAAATTTAACTGAGGAGGAAAAAAAAGTTAAGAATAAAAAATTGAACACATAATTTACAATTTTGTCCACGTACATTTCGATAAAGAATGCCATCACAAGTTTTCAATAGAATTAGTGAGATTACTTAGAACTCAGTAACTTTACAAACACATTTATCACACTAACTTCATTTTTTTTACACCAAACTTATATTAAAATTAACTAGCGATTACATCACCACACAAAATTGAAAGTTCTTTACCAAGGAACACACTTGTCGAGTGTTTGAAATAGAGACATAACTGAACATAAGCTTGAAAACGATAAAATAAAAAATTAAAATCGTAGATGATAATTGGTAACTTCTTTGAAAGGGTTTCGAGAGAAATCAGATTGAAATCGATCGTCGACTCTTGGTCTTCCAATAAATCCGAGAATGATGCTAGAATTTTTGCTTTGGAAGGCAAGCGAACAACAAGAGCTTTTGATGTTTTTAGAACTGAATTTTTGAAAACATTTTTTTAAGAAAAAATTTAATGTTAAATTATATTCAAAAGAAAAAACCCACAGTTTATTACATTGAAATGCAACTTTTCATAAGAATTAAGTAAAATGTCTTTTAGAAACATTCTCCATGAGGGAGAGTAATGCTGAAAAATGTCTTTTCGAAGAGAAGGAAGGATGATGGAATTGATCTTTCTAAAAAGGAAGATAAATGCGGAAGTGATCTCTCCATTAAAAAAAAAATTCTCTATAAAAGAGGAAGATAACGGAGAAGCACCGGAATCACAACCAGTTTTAACTTGAGAGGGTTTAGAACATGGCCCAAAGATAATGAACCTACTAGGCCCAAGAGAAGGCAAACATTTGCTTAAAAACTCTCTTGTTTTCTACACACAAGATAAATTGTAGAGAAAAGTTTTGTTTGATTAGTTAACAATCATTTGCTCAAAGGATTTGTATAGGTGGCAGCACCATTTTTGTTAGAGGATCCGATCAATTGTAGAGAAAAGTTATAGACTAAATAATTAGAAAACATAGAGAATTCTATAGGAACATTTTAAAAAGAGAATGTTGTGATATCAAAAACCAATACTCTTTCTTTCATCTCTAAAATCGGACTAAAAATATGATTTCGATTTTACGCTTTCCCATAAAAATTTTACATTTAATGTGATGACAAAAACTTAATTTTTTTTTTGTTTACAACTATTATTACTAGGTCATAACCCCCATCATATCGCGGGGAACTCATTTTCAACAAATATATTTTATTATATTTTGTATTAAATTATTATGATAATATATTCAAATATTTAAATTATTACATAAAATTAACGATGTTTTAAAGTTATATCATAAATATTTGGGAGACTCACAAAAATGCCCCTTTTTCAATACCCCTTTTCAAAAATGCCCCTTTTGGCTGTCCATTTTTAAAAATACCCCTTTTTATGTACAAAATGACTAAATTACCCTTATTTTAATAAAAGATATCACAAATATATAAGGAAATATAACAAAATTAAGTCCACAAAATACAAAATATTTTTTGGCGGGAAAAGTGATCCCTCAATTTTTCCCGCCAAAACACTTGTAAAAAACCTTTAAAATACCTTGTAAAATTTTTCCGTAAAATTTTTTCCCGCCAAAAAATTTTCCCGCCAAAAATTTTTTTTTGCGGGAAAAGTGATTCCGTAATTTTTTTGGCGTTAAATTTTTGGCGGGAAAATTTTTGGCGGGAAAAATTTACAAGGTATTTTAAAGGTTTTTTACAGGGTATTTATAAGGTTTTACAATGTATTTTAAAAGGTTTTACAACGTATTTATAAGGTATTTATAAGATATTATAAGATTTTACAAGCTATTTTATAAAGTTTTACAAGTTCTAAGATTTTACAAGTTTTTTATAAGGTTTTACAAGTTTTTTACAAGTTATAAATTCCTTATAAAACTTTATAAGTACCTTGTAAAACCTTTTAAAATACATTGTAAAACCTTACAAAACACTTGTAAATACTTCGTAAAACCTTTAAAATACCTTGTAAATTTTTCCCGCCAAAAATTTTCCCGCCAAAAAAATTTTGCCAAAAAAATTGCGGAATCACTTTTCCCGCAAAAAAAATTTTTTGGCGGGAAAAATTTTTACGGGAAAATTTTATAAGTTATTTTAAAGGTTTTTTACAAGTGTTTTGGCGGGAAAATTGCGGGATCACTTTTCCTGCCAAAAAAAATTTTGTATTTTGTTGACCTAATTTTGTTTCAAATAAGGGTAAAATGGTCATTAAAAATTAAAAGAGGGCAAACTTAAAAATAGACTCTCAAAGGGGGCATTTTTTAAAAAGGGTATTGAAAAATGGGCATTTTTAACAATTTCTCTAAATATTTTCCAAATATGTTAAAACAATTTATGAATAAAATGTAAAAAAAAGAATTATGATTAAAAACACTTTTGAAACATTTTTTCTGAATGTAAAATTATTTATAATTAAGTGGTAAAATACATAACGAAGAGTTATAATATAGAGATGAAAAATTCTAGTGGGTCAAAACCAAAAAAATCGGATGATATCAGTACTCAGAACGACTTGTGGGTGACTAAGAACTTCATCCGAGAATTGGTGTTTTTTGTTTGTCGACTACTCTTTAAATATAAAATTAATATTTATTTTATTTTATATATTTGAGAAAATATAATATTTGATGACGTAAATTACATCTATAATAAACAAATAAATATTTACAAGATCTCATAAATTTGTATTTATATTGATAAATTAACTGATTAAAAAAACTTTTTTCTTGAATATTTATGTGACGAATTGGAATGATTACTTTTTTTCTAATAAAGGAGATGATTTCTAGATTATTATACCATCTGAAACGGTTCATTTGATGCTTATCACATTTAAAGCGTCCAATCAAAAGCGTCACATGAGAATGTTTTTTCATATTCGGACTTTGTAATAGTGTCAACGCATCATCAATATTTCGTTATATACAACCCATATATATTGTCTTAAGATAAAAACCCTCATTGTTACCATATAAAATAGTTGAATAAAAAAATTCACTGTATAATCCGTCCAATTCTAAAGAAAAAATTGTTGGTATTTTCATTAGAATTTTATATTTAAAGTTGATTAAAACTTCTCTATTTTTATAATCATTCCAAAAAACTTTGGTTAGATAAAGAATGAGAATCATTTCTTTAATATTAAAATGATGTATGTTTAAAAATAGTTTAGAGAATAAAGAATTTGGAACTATTTTACAGATTGATTTTTTTGGATTCATCATGAAATAAATAATCTATATTAAAGAACAAAAATTTGGGAACTACTAAGCAAAAATGACAAATATATAGAGTTCAAAAGTCACAAATATCCAAATAGATAACAATTCATACAAAAATTTGTGACGAAAAAATGCAATGAAATATAGTAAAAAGACGTAATTTTAAATGAATAGATATAACTATAAAGACACAGCCGTAAACTAAAAAATGCGACTATATTTTAAAGGCAAGTTACGATAAAAAGAACAACCGCAAAAATAACCGTCAACAAAAAATGTAACCGTAAATATTTTAACGAAGAGTTGTGATAAAAAGACACAATTGAGAAAAAATAGCTGTCAATATTTTAACAGAAAATTACGATAAAAAGACAAAAACTAAAAAAGTAACCATCAATATTAAATCGGAAATTTTTGATAAAAGACACAACCGGAAAAATATTTGTCAACGAAAAATTAACCGTCAATATTATAACGAAGAGTTGCGATAGAAAGACACAACCGAGAAAAAATAATCGTCGATATTTTAACGGAAAATTGCGATAAAAAATACATAAACAAAAAAATAACAGTCAATAATTTAACGGAAAGTTATGATAAAAAGATACAACCGAAAAAGTAATTATCAATAAAAAAAAGTAACCGTCAATAATTTAATGAAGAGTTGCGATAAAAAATACGCAACTGTGAAAAAATAACTGACAATATTTTAACGGAAATGTGCGATAAAAAGACACAACGGAGAAAAAAGAACCGTCAATATTTTAACGGAAAGTTGCGATAAAAATGCACAACCGAGAAAAATTACCGTCAATCTTTTAACGGAAAGTTGCGATAAAAAGACAAAAGTAAAAAAAAGTAACCATCAATATTTGAACGGAAAGTTGCGATAAAAAGACACAACCGAAAAAATAACCGTCAACGAAAAAAGTAACCGCCAATATTTTAACGAAGAGTTGCGATAAAAAGACACAACCGATAAAAAATAACCGTCAATATTTTAGTGAAAAATTACAATAAAAAACGCAACCGAAAAAAATAACCGTTAATATTTTAATGAAAACTTGCGATAAAAAGATACAACCGTAGAAAAATAACCGTAAATATTTAATCGAAAGGTTGCGATAAAAAGACGCAACCGTTCAGAAGTACAAAACACATTTATTGAGATTGCTATTATATATAGATTAATTAACTTGTGAGGCACAACTGTTAAAAATGTAACCATAGAAACTAGGCCTGGGCATTCGGGTACCCGTTCGGGTTCGGTTCTTTCTTTTCGGGTATCGGGTCTATTCGGGTAGGGGGTCAAGATCCATTCAGGTATTCTAAAAATTCGGTTCGGGTTCGGTTCGGGTATTTTAATAAAAAAGCAAAATACCCGAAAATAACCAAAAATACCCGGAATATTTTTCGGGTTCGGGTTTTTAACTCATATATACCCAAATCTAACCGAAATACCCGATTTCTCGAAAATACATTGGTTACTTTTTACCCAAATATAACCAAAAATATCTAAAATACCTAATATATTCGGATTTATAATTGTAATTTTAGGTATTTCGGGTATTATAAATATAAAAATAACTAATATTTTTAGGTGTATATTTGTATTCGGGTACATTCGGATACATTCGGGTATTGGATTTGGTTCGAGTTCGGTTCGAGTTTTTTTCGGGTAGGAGGTTAGGACCCATTCGGGTATTTTTAAAAATCGGGTTCGGATTCGGTTCGGGTATTATTCGGGTTTTTCTGTTCGAATATTCAGTTCCGGGTATTTTGCCAGGCCTAATAGAAACGACCAATACAGATTTACAAGAAAAGTATCATTAAATCGGAAAACTGCAAAGCATATATAATACGAATTCTAAGTCTTTAATTATTATCATAAGAAAATAGTTCCGTAATCGTGGAAAAAAAGATATGATCAAATCAAATGAGATTTGCTTTGCATGATGATGCCATATGTCAGACCAACACAATGAGCTGTTGTGTCGATGAACCACCATATGCCAAGATGCGCTATTACCGACAACATATTTGTATAGTCAAGTTTCATTAATTAACATCCACAGATCCAAGTCCAACAACTGAAAAATAAAATAAATATCATAAGTAGAATGTAAAGTAGAAATACTTGTGTACTTAAATTTTTTGGCTTATGCCTCTTAATTATTATTACACTAGACTCGACGAAACCAACACTAGCATGATTAAAAAAAAAAAAAAAGATTACAATTCTAATTTCCATTTTAAAACTTTTTAAAAACACAAAATTTTAATAAAAAAAAAAACATTACAAAATAAAATTTAAGACTAGACATCAACTTTACAAGTTGAAGGAGCGAGAAGAGGAACTTGTCCATTAGAAGATGGATTAAATCTCAACCACACATCACACCTGGCATAAAATCCATACCGTCCAGTCTTAATCGCACCAGCTTTCCATCGGAGCCTCCCTAAAATCACCACTCTCATCAAAACGACACCGTAAGCTTCATCATTCTTCAAACCGTTAGCCACTTCCGGCGAAACTGGTATACCGTTGCCTCCCATCACCGGAGCTATCACCACCGTAGATTTATGTCCTAAACGAAGCGGCGGTAACGGAAGCGGCGGTGTTATGATCTGATCTTTGTACGTTACGTACATAGAGAGCTTGTCGTAGTGAATTGATACTCTCCGGTTAGGGTTTCTTGCCAAAACGCTGAACTGAACGGAGGTTGAGATTAACGGCGGCGCCGTGAAATTGAGGTCGTAGATGGCGGCTCCGACGACGGTGAGACGTGGTTTGTGTGGACGGTAGACGAGCCAAAGGATTAAAGCGATGATACCTAGTAAGATGAGGACAGTGAAGATCGCGCCGCAGATTGCGCGGAGTGCACCTCCACCGCCGCCTCCTCCACCTTTAGAGTAAGATTCCGGCGTTGAAGAAGCGGAGGGAGCGTTCTTGTGATCTGCTTTGGCTTCCCCTTCACCCATGGCTATAGTCTATAGATATAAGTATGTATGTATGTATAAGTGTGTGTGTATATATACGAGAACCAGAGGATTTATTAAGGGTTTGGTGAAGAGTGAAGACTGTAAAGAAGGAGGAGGAGGAGAAGAAGATAAGTAGATGTAAGTTTTTGTCTTGTTTTGTCTACTTAATAAGAGTAAACACTCTTTTAGAGTCCATTTTATTACTGTTTTACATTGTGGTTTTTATTATAATATTAATGTTTTTACTTTCGAAAGACTCCAAATCTCGGAGCAACCGTTCACGTGACGGATCTGATGGTTTTAAATAAAAAAAATTTAATTTTATCATATAAAGAGATGTAATGTAATGTGTATGTGGCTATACATAATCAAATAAGTGATTGTCTATGATTGACTTATTTGATGACTACTATGGTTTTCGTGCAAGGTGATAACTATCACTTTTTGGCCGTGTTGAAACTTTTAAAATTAGAATGAAAATTATCACGTTACGGGCTTTACGGCTTGTAAAAGTTAAAACAAAATATCTGTTTGCAATGCCAAATACGAATATTAGCATCTTAATTGGTTATGTGGCCAGATTTTTTTTTTTTCATGCAATCTATCATATTTCACAATTATTAATCAACTGTATGCTATGAACGATTAATTCATGGAAGGTATAGTAAATGAATTAGGTACCACATATATCATATTTGTTCTAAGGTTTAGAAAAAAGAAAGTACAACAGCCTTTTATGTCCACATCTCCAACAATAATTTCGAACAAATTCCATATAATTAAATATACATATAAACTCATATTAATAAGCTTCCAAAATAATTAATATGAAGAATCTGTTATTAATTCACACTAACCGAGATACCGCACCGACACCGTATTCACCGACAATGATACGGATAGTACCTGGGCCTATATCTAAAGCCCATTTTATTAATTGGGCCTGAGTAATTTAAAACTATTGTGTACACCTGCTTAACTGATTCATCTCTCACTTCTAACGGCTGATATATTTGACGACAAAAAAAAACGGCCGATTTATTAAAAGCTCCGAACGATGATTCGCCGGCCGATCTACGACTGCTCCGCCGCTGCTCGCCACCTAATTTCTCCGTTATCGACATTTTCGCGTTTTCTATCTGAACACAAAGCTGGAGAACCGAAGGCCTCGGCTTTGGTATCGAATCCTAGCCCTAAATCCCCAATCGGGTCTCCGACTCGGGTTCAAAAGCTCATAGCTTCGCAATCGGATCCTCTCCTCGCCAAAGAGATTTTCGATTACGCTTCTCAACAGCCCAATTTCCGCCATTCTCAATCTTCTTATCTCATCCTCATTCTCAAACTCGGCCGTGCTAGATATTTCAATCTCATCGACGACGTTCTCGCCAAGCACAGATCAAGTGGTTATCCGTTAACCGGAGAAATTTTCACATATCTGATCAAAGTCTACGCAGAGGCAAAGATACCGGAGAAAGTTTTAAGAACGTTTTACAAAATGCTGGAGTTCAATTTCACGCCGCAGCCAAAACATCTGAATCGGATTCTAGAGGTTCTTGTAAGCCATAGAGGTTATCTCCAGAAAGCTTTTGAGCTTTTCAAGAGTTCACGGCTTCACGGAGTAATGCCTAACACGAGAAGCTACAATATATTGATGCAAGCTTTTTGTTTGAATGATGATTTGAGTATTGCATACCAATTGTTTGGTAAAATGCTTGAGAGAGATGTTGTCCCTGATGTGGAGTCTTATAAGATTCTGATAAAAGGGTTTTGTAGGAAAGGGCAAGTGAATGGTGCTATGGAATTACTGGAAGATATGTTGAATAAAGGATTTGTTCCCGATAGACTGAGTTATACGACATTGTTGAACAGTTTGTGTAGGAAGACGCAGCTCAGAGAGGCTTATAAGCTTTTATGTAGGATGAAGTTAAAAGGTTGTAATCCTGATCTTGTTCATTACAACACGATAATTCTCGGGTTTTGTAGAGAAGATCGCGCGATGGATGCTAGGAAAGTTCTTGATGATATGTTGTCTAACGGTTGCTCGCCTAATTCGGTCTCGTATAGGACATTGATTGGAGGATTGTGTGATCAAGGAATGTTTGATGAAGGGAAGAAGTATCTACAAGAGATGATATCGAAGGGGTTTTCTCCTCATTTCTCGGTTTCGAATTGTTTGGTAAAAGGGTTTTGCAGCTTCGGGAAAGTTGAAGAAGCGTGTGATGTGGTAGAGGTTGTGATGAAGAACGGAGAAATATTGCATTCAGACACTTGGGAGATGATAATTCCATTGATCTGTAAAGAAGATGAGTCGGAGAAGATCAAACGGTTTCTTGAAGATGCTGTAAAGGAAGAGATAACCGGTGATACCAGAATTGTCGATGTCGGTATCGGTTTAGGTTCTTACCTTTCTAGTAAGCTACAGATGAAACGTAAAAATGTTAGAGAGAGGAGGAGACATTTATAGGTTACTGATCCTGAGGAACTGTAGAAGAAACCTCGAGTTTGTTTGCTCAGAAAGTGTTGTGATATTGGTTAGTGGGCCTCATTTGGGCTTTTACTATTATTTTAAGCCCATTTGGCTTCATATCAGATTCTGATCATTTAGTAAGTGAGAGTGGCAACGAATCAGATCTGAATTTCGCCGATTACTCAGAAAATCATAAAAATGCCGGAGCTTGAACAAGACGTTGCGGCGGCGGAGACGGTGGATTCCTCCACCGTGAAATTTGGTACACCAGAAGCACTTGAGTATGTACGGTCGCTCACTGACGTTGGCGCGATGACGCGTCTTCTTCACGAATGTATTGCTTACCAGCGAAGCTTAGACTCAGATCTCGACACGCTTCTATCGCAGCGGACGGAGCTTGATCGGAATCTCGTTCAGCTTCAGAGATCCGCCGAGATTCTCGATATCGTAAAAGCGGATGCAGATCACATGCTCGGAAATGTTCGATCGACTTGTGATCTCGCGGATCAGGTCAGTGGCAAGGTACGAGAACTCGATCTTGCTCAATCTCGTGTTAATGTTACTCTCTCCCGCATTGACGCGATTGTCGAGCGAGGGAATTGTATCGAAGGCGTGAAGACTGCTTTGGAATCGGAGGATTATGAATCTGCTGCGAAATTTGTACAGAGATTTCTCCAGATCGATTCGCAGTACAAGGATTCTGGTTCTGACCAGAGAGAACAGCTTCGCGCGTCGAAGAAGCAGCTTGAAGGTATTGCGAAGAAGAAGCTTTTAGCGGCAATAGACCAGAGGGATCATCCTACGATTTTGAGATTCGTGAGACTGTATTCTCCATTGGGAATGGAGGAAGAAGGTCTACAGCTATACGTTGGTTACTTGAAAAAGGTCATTGCGATGAGAGGAAGGATGGAATATGAAAATGTGGTTGAGCTTATGGAGCAAGGACTCGGACAGGCTAATTTCGTTGGGTGCTTAGCCAATTTGTTTAAGGATATTGTCATGGCTATTGTAGAAAACGATGAGATCTTGAGGGGTCTTTGTGGAGAAGACGGTGTTGTTTATGCGATTTGTGAATTGCAAGAGGAATGTGATTCTAGAGGTTCGTTGATCTTGAAGAAGTACATGGAGTTTAGAAAGTTAGCTAGATTGGCGTCTGATATTAACAATTCTCCGAATCTGAATCTTCTTGCTGGTGGTGCTTCTGAAGGACCAGACCCGAGAGAAGTTGAGCTGTATGTGGAAGAGATACTGTCACTGATGCAGATTGGTGAGGATTATACCGAGTTCGTGGTGTCAAAAATCAAGTCTTTGACGTCGGTAGATCCTGAATTGTTGCCAAGGGCTACAAAAGCATTTAGAAATGGAAGTTTTTGCAAAGTGATTCAGGATGTGACAGGATTCTATGTGATACTAGAAGGGTTCTTTATGGTTGAGAATGTGAGGAAAGCTATAAGGATCGATGAGCATGTACCTGACAGCCTTACCACTTCAATGGTGGACGATGTGTTCTACGTGTTGCAGAGTTGTCTGAGGAGAGCGATTTCAACTTCAAACATCAGTTCTGTGATTGCTGTGTTGAGCAATGCTGGTAGCTTGTTGGGCAATGATTACCATGAAGCTTTACAACAGAAGATTAGAGAGCCAAACCTTGGTGCTAGGTTGTTCTTGGGTGGTATCGGTGTGGAAAACACCGGAACTGAGATTGCAACTGCTTTGAACAATATGGACGTGAGCTGCGAGTACATTATCAAACTAAAAATTGAAATCGAGGAGCAATGTACTGAGGTTAGTTCTCATACTTCTGATACTTGGTGATTTACTTATCTAGGGTACTTAAGGAACAACAATCGGGGATCTATTAGACTAGAATTCTCTTGCTTACTCTTACCTGACTCTATATGGATCTATCTCTCACTTTCTTTGGGTTAAAGTGTTAACATAGATAGCGATAGCTTCATTTTTTGCTAGAGGTAATGCAGGCTCTGTTCATCTCATGAAAATCATGTATATTGGCATTTGAGGAGCGAAACCTATTCTCTATATGTTGATTTGCATTCTTGAATCCTAGACTCCTGGACATATCTGTCTCACTTTCTTTATCATGTGTCGTAATCACAGGTGTTTCCTGCACCAGCAGATCGAGAGAGGATAAAATCATGTTTATCCGAGTTAGGTGAGTTAAGCAACACGTTCAAGCAATTACTCAACTCAGGCATGGAACAGCTAGTGGCAACCGTAACACCAAGAATCCGTCCGGTTCTAGACACTGTAGCTACCATAAGCTACGAGTTAACAGAAACTGAGTACGCAGAGAACGAGGTGAATGACCCGTGGGTCCAAAGACTTCTCCACTCGGTCGAAACAAATGCCGCGTGGCTCCAACCACTCATGACATCCAACAACTACGACTCGTTTCTGCATCTCATAATCGATTTCATAGTTAAAAGACTCGAAGTCATAATGATGCAGAAACGGTTTAGCCAGCTTGGCGGGCTTCAGCTTGACCGGGACACAAGGGCTTTGGTTAGCCATTTCTCGGGAATGACTCAAAGAACAGTGAGAGATAAGTTTGCTCGGTTAACTCAAATGGCGACGATACTGAACTTGGAAAAGGTCTCAGAGATTTTGGACTTTTGGGGAGAGAACTCAGGACCCATGACTTGGAGACTCACACCAGCTGAGGTTAGACGGGTTTTGGGTCTCCGAGTCGAGTTTAAACCCGAATCAATTTCTGCTCTCAAGTTGTGATGTTACTTCTTTGTTTATTATGTCATCTACAATTACTTAAATCCAATTTTTTCATAATCTGATTGGTGAATGAAAACTTAATTAATACCAAACGAACCTAAAAACTCCATCTGCGTTTATGTCATTTACCCTGTTAAAAGTATTTAATCAGTAAAAAACAGTAACAAATATGACGTGGTTAATTTCTTAAGAAAAACTCGATTTTTTTCCCTCTTTCGACTCAGTTCATGTTTTGGATTAAATGTAGTAATTTGAAAAGAAAAAAAATTAAAACAGGAAATGTTTAAAGTATGTAGAATTCTCTTTTCCATTTTAGTTTCAGATAAGTTTAGAATTTAGTTCGACTGTACGAACGTGAATATATGCCCAAAAAGATGTGATGTAGCGTGTAATCCACGTTGGATGCTTTTGTTCGATTCGATAAATGTTGGGTCCAAAACTGAGACATAAGCAAAACATGGGATCCCAATAAATAATTATAAACTCTTGTCCTGTACAATGTCTGTCTATAAATAGACTTACATCTTCAAACATGAGATATGTACAAGTCTCCCCCCACTTAAAAAGATTTAGTTTAATATCGTTTGCAGTTTCTTACAATGTCTCGACCAATCCCTATTGAAGGTAAAAAACAAAAAAAAAAAACATAACTTTGTTGTGTCTGATCTTTTTATCATTATCAGTTCCAATTTATAAGAATAATTTTCTCTTCTTGACAGAAATGGTGAGACTGTTTAAATCGCGTCACACAACATCTCACTCGTTCAAGATAGACAACTTCTCTTTACTCAAAAAGTATGGAATCGAAAAGGTCGAATCCTCTGTTTTCGATCTCGCTGGTTAGGCCTGGGAAAAAAAACCGCTAACCAAATAATCGACCGAACCGAATCGAAAAAAACTGAACCATATCCGAACTGAAGTTTTTAAAATAACCGAATGGTTTGTAAAATCTCCTATCCAAACTAACCGAAACCGAACCGAACCGAACCGATAACCAAACGGTTAACCGAAATATCCAAAAACCTATAAGATACCCAAAAATAATATCCAAAACTATAATTATAACCTCAAAAAATTAATTATTTTTATAATCAAAACAATCAAATACTTTAAATAATCAAAATATTCAAATATTGTTTGTTATATTTATCAAAGTTAAATACTCTTTTACAAAATTGAATCAAATTTTAATTTTTTTCTAATATTTTAATTTTTTTGCATTTTCTTTTTGTATTTTTTTGGTTAATTTTGGTTAGTTTCGGTTATATTCGGTAAATTTCGGTTAATTTGGGTAAAAACCCGAACCAAACCGAACGTGATAAAAGTTTGATTAGTTACGGTTACCTATTTAAATATCCAAACCGAACCGAACCGAAAGGTAACCGAACCGAACCGAACCGAAATTCTTAAAATATCCGAATGGTTATTATATTACCATATCCAAACTAACCGAAACCGAACGTAACCGAACCGAAACCGAATGGTCAACCGAATGCCCATGCCTATCGCTGGTCACAAATGGTGATTAATCTTTTTGATCTTCTTATTATGCTTATTGACATACAACAGAAAAAAAGCAAAAAAAAACAGTTATGACTAACCTCCATATGACTTTGGACTTTGGTATGATAATAGGACACTCTCTGTCTACCCAAATGGGCATAAAAGTGCTAAGGGGACTCATGTCTCCATCTTCTTAATGAATCAAGTTTCAGTTAATGTTTTGCTTACATATAAGCTCTTTGTCGTCAGTCAACTAGAGCGAAAATGGCACAGCAAGAGTCTCTATCTCTCTCTCTCTCACTCATATATCTGTGTGTATATAGGTTTGATATGGCGTCCATGTTGATGTGTTATATGTGCAGGCAAAGACCAATTTGATACAAATCCAGAACCGAGTACTGAGGGGTTTTATGAGTTCATAACTCTTGCTGATCTTAAGAGAAACGGTTACCTTATTGGTGTCAAGTTTTATGAGATTGAACCTGCTAATCCCGGGACTGCAGAATGTTTTAGCTTAATTGAGAAGCCTCTTAATCACAAAGTTACCTGGATGATGAGCAAGTTCTCGTCCTTTAACCCTGGAAAGGTCCATCAGTCTAATGAATTTGTCGTTGGAACCAGGAAATGGTAAATATATATATTGATTCCAACGACTTATTATTCCCGATTAGAAAAACCTTATACTAATGAAAATGCATCACAATATATTTGATCAGGAGAATTGAAGTTCATCCAAGAGGGTATAATGAGGAAAAAGACAAATCATTTTCTGTGTATCTATCCGCAGAAGGGTTTGTCAAGAATGCACCAAACACAAAAACTTACGCGAGGTTCAAGCTGCGGGTATTGGATCAAGTTAGCTGGAATCATGCTGAGAGAGCAGGTTTATATGATCCATCTTTATTAGGAGGAATATGTTTTGGAATTTAAGTCTTGTGATGGTAAAATAATAGTAATCTTTCATTTTTGTAGGTACGGAGTGGTTTGATGCAGAACCTGAGCAAAGTGGCTTCGCGGATTTCATGCCTTTGGGGAAACTAGATGAACCTTATTTGGTGAAGGATAAGCTTTATGTGGGAGTTGAGTTTGAAGTTATTTCTACCACTAATTACTGTTAGCTTCTTGGCTTTAATAAGCCTTATTGTGAGCTAAATATAGCAAGAAATGTTATAATGTATTGAATAAAATGCTGGAGAATGTACCTACTGATGCAGTAATGACTTGGAGGTGGGACTACATCGACCGAGTCTTAGCCAAAGTCATATTTCTCTTTTTGTCATTTGTATAACTAAATAATAAAAAGGAAGAAACAGTTTGCTTCCAAGTTTTTAGGAACCGTGAGGTTCTTTCACTTTTTGTCATCAAAGTCACACTTGCAATTAGTAAAAACCTCTGTCTTGAGGGTAAACTGCAAATGGCAATCAACCAAATCCAAGCTAAGACTAAGAGGATGAAATTGTTGTCACATCATCTCTTCTATGGATCAAACAGATAAGAAGAAGAAACAAACAATTCCTTGTCATTGTCAAGTATGCATCAGATTAAAGAAAAAAAAAAGACCTTTATTCTAATTCCATGTTGGACCTGGAGATCTGATTCACACACTTTCTGTTTATTAGGAATCTTAAATTTGGGATAAGATTCCTGATGCACAGAAAGTGGTTTTCTAATTTCTAGTGGTTACTTTCAGATTAATCGAATTATCATCGAATCAATTTTATGGTATTTTCTTTCGGCTAAAAAGTTAAGAAATTCAAATTCACATTTTTTTCGCAAAACACAGCTCAAAGGTTGTTCCTTTTTTTCAATTTCTTAGGATGTTATTCAAATTACAGACATTATCAAACTTATCAGAGATTTGATAACAAAAGCATAGCAAAGCAAGCGTTTTGATGAGTTTCCATTTTAGGATATTTATCTCTGTCACACTGAGTCTTGAGGATTGAACTTGACTGTTTCACGGTATATAAGCTCCTTAATGTTCTCTTCTGTCAAAGTAGGTTGCTCGAAATCGAAATTGAACGGCCTCACACATACCGGTTCTTCGTTTATATCATGCAGCGGTGCCAAATATGGGTGGCATAACGCCTCATCAACTAGACACACAAAAAAATTGTTCAGATAATAGCCGAAAAACAGAGAAGAAGCAGATATATAAAATATAACTCACCTGTGATGCGTCTGCTTGGATCAAAAACAAGCATTTTCTCCAGCAAATCGACTGCACCAGCCGACATGTTTGGGAATCTAGCAGCAAAGTTCTGTCTCGGGTACTGCGGAAGCTGTCTAACGTATCTTCTTGCATTGTCACTTCTTAAGAATCCCAAGCTTGAGTCATCAGGCGATCCTATAAGCTGCTTTTCAAAGATTCATCAATAAATGCAGATGATACCGTGAAGAAACACAAAGTGGCGATTCTTTGGATGAAACTAGATTACCTCAGTGATGAGTCTAAGCTGATGAACATAATCTTTACCGGGAAACAACGGCTCTCGTGTCATTGTTTCACCGAGTATACAACCGACAGACCAAATATCGATTGCTGCTGTGTATTCTGAGCAATTAAGGAGCAGCTCTGGGGCTCGATACCAACGTGTAACAACATATTCAGTCATGAAGTCTGTCTCGGATTTGGTCCTCGCAAGCCCGAAGTCCCCAAGCTTTAGATCACAATTTGCATTCAGGAGCAAATTGCTGGGTTTCAAATCTCGGTGCAATACATTAGCTGAATGAACGTATTTGAGCCCTCGCAACAACTGATACAGAAAAAACTGCAAAACAAAATCGAGACCAATTACTAAACACAACAAGCCCAACTTCAAAGAGAACAAGCATAACAATGGCTCACACTTATAAGTATCAAGCGATACTAAATCTAACTGTTGTTTTGATCAACCATAATTCATTAGATGCCCTAACACAATAACAGCTGCTCTAGCTGCCTGAACCCAAGTAACTTGTAAAGTAGAAAGAGAAGATTCATCCGCTAGATACATACCCGACAATGATCATCAGTCAACGGTTGGTTAGAGCGTATAATTTGGTGGAGATCAGTGTCCATAAGCTCATAAACAATGTAAACATCATTGAAGTTCTCTCTCTGCGGTGGTTTTATTATATCCTTGACAGCAATCACCTGCACAAATAAACCAATATAAGTAAGATTCACAAAACAAATCCAGAGATGAGATTAGAGTCACGTACATTTTCATGATCCATATGCTTGAGAAGCTTAATCTCTCTCAAAGTTCTTTTAGCATCGATAATATTGTCAAAAGCATTACCGATCTTCTTGATAGCTACTTCCTCTCCAGTCTCTGAGTTTGTAGCAGCACTGATCAACAAATATGAACACAAGTTAAAAGAAACAGATCCGAAAATTGAATTCCAAGAACAATCAATCCCTAACAAAGTAAATCGAGAATCGCTCGAATTAGAAGTTTCTAAGCACAAATCTGGAGAAAAACTGACCAGACAATACCATAAGCGCCTCTACCGATGGGACGAAGAGGAGGAACATACTTTCTAGAAACTTCGAAGAGATTGCCATAGACATTATACTGAACATAGCTACCACCATGAGTAGGCAATCCTTTGCTGCTTTGATCACCTGAACTTCCGAAACAAGTTTCCGCCGACATCGATAAAATGAAGAACCCTAGATACACGCACAGAGAAGAAATTGAGGAGGAATTGAGAAGATGGGTGTTGACATTTCGTTATAAAGTCTCCACCTTTTTTATTTTTATTGCCAAAGGGGATGTCTCCTCTCGGGTCACCCGTGAACCTTAAACCGGGTTTTTTTTCTTCTTTGTAATCTGATGATTGTGTCTCTAAGTAATTGATGAATTTTGTATAATGGAACAAGTTAATGACTTCATGTGGGAATGTTTCTGATATCATAGAATAATGTTACAAGAATTTTATTGACAACTTTTCTCCAATAAGAATTTGAGTATGACTTGGTATATTGGTGGTGTACAAGTCAATGGGCGGCCAAATTGTATTTGACCATAAAACTGACCTTTGATTCCAAATTCATTAATGGAAAAATGTATATGTAAAACAACTTATATAACTAAAAGTTTGGTGCATTTGTTATTTATTATCAATAGCTTGAATATCTATCTGGTTTGCTTTGACTGATAATGTAACCATGAAAATGACACTGATTTTTTTTTTGTCTAGTGATTTACAATGGGCCTCAAGCAAACCCATCACTTATCTATTATGCGTGTGATCATTACCAACTAAGATGGACTGAAGCCGATTTAGGCAGTCCACAAGAGCACAGTTTTTGACTAACTTGAAAATGTAGTTATTAGCTTAGTAACTTCTAAAATATGCTCACTGATCAACACTTAAAAGTACTTTTTAAGTATTTTGTTTCGTTTTAAAATCTCATTTTTTTATCTGCATTTGTACTTAACATCAACGAAAGCACTACCATAATAATTACATGTTTCCTCTATTCACAAACAAATCATAACACTTTTAACCATCGGTGGCAATGCCACTCCCAGCTCTTTAGCGTATTTCGTCCAGAGGCTCTCGAACAATGCGTCTCGGGCAGAGATCACCATCTTCGACAAGCAACGTGTTTCCTTGGAGACAAGCTCAAACCTTTCCGAAAGTTCTATCACTGACTTCTTTAATGGCTCCACCAACAAAATAGGAACTGACCCTTCTTGTACCTCTGAGTAAAGCTTCTTCACACCGGTTTCAACAGCCTCGAGATCTTTTATAACCGTGAATTTGTCTGATAAGAATGTGTTTTTGATCACTGGGTTAATCATGTTCTGCAATTCCATGAAAGCTTGTGCCCATGGAAGTTCCTCCACCTCCTTTGGAATGTTTAGATAGAAGAGATTCTTGGAAGAACCCGAGAACGCTGCAGCAAACACGCTGAATATGTATAAAGTCTTGACCTTTACAGCGTATAGAGCTCGCAAGAGGACTTTTCCTTCCGCAGAGTGTTTCTTCTTCGCCTTCTTGGAGAGATGATGATGATCCATCGATTCAACAAGCCTACTCAAAACCGCGCCACAGTTTTCGATTCTCCGGTTCTTGGAAACCATGTGCTGATTCCAACTGTCAAGATGCGATAACGAAAATTCCTCTGAACAGTTGTTTGTCTCCAGCTTACTAAAAGCAAACTTGAGTAATAGATTGCCATGGTTCAGACGATCTATCTCAGAGATGAAGGCGTTGCAGAGTTCAAGGAGGTTCAAGCTAATGTCAGAGTAGATATAAATCAAATTTTCCTCCAAGTCCGATACTGGAAGCTCTAAATCCGTCACGAGCGTCCTGATACTCTTGTGTGTCTCACAAAGAGACTCCATAGCTTGTATCATCCAAGAAACACTAATGATATCATTCTTATCCTTCGGTATAAGTTCTCTAATCGATACCATCAAGTTAGTCTCGAAATTGTTCAACAGTGAGAGAAGCTTTGGCGATAATCGAGCGTTGTTGTTCTTCGTAAACAAAATCTTGAACGGGTTTCGACAGTGGAAGAACCTGTGTGGAGGATCTTGTGTACATTGTTGGCTCATATCAACTGAAAACACAAAAAAAAAGGAAGAAACAAAGTTAGTAATCTGAAACAATGAGCAAACTAATAACATTGTTCTGAATCAAAAATCCGAATCAATAGACCTCAAGATTTCAAAAAAAAACAAAAACAAAAAAAAAGAGACATTATTTAAGTAAACAGAACAAAACCCAGGTCACAAAATCCGAATTCTGGAGATTTCACACCCAAATTGGCATAAAAAGTAAACCAAATTCGCCGACGATTAACATCACCAACGAAAACTGACCTAAAGAGAGAGATTCTTCGGGAATGTTACCGCTTACTTTAATGTTACGCTACTTCAATGAAGGAGAGACAAAAACCTAATCTAACTTTGCAGAGAAAAGAAACCAAAAGAGCGTATAAATAGGAGATGGGTTTAGTGTTCTTACCTACCGAGTAGGCGAGTATATAATAATAAAATTTGGGATTCGAAATGTCAAGGAAACGCAAAAGACTTGAAACGCGTTCTTATAGGGAGGAGGAATCAAAGAAACTTGCCGTGTTCTGCAGATCAACGCTATCGCAACTTTAAGTCCCGCGTTGGTTTTGCTAGTTGTAAAGGACCTTCTTCTGTTTCAGCTACGCGGCTGTGGCGAAGAATAGAGACATATATACACGTGTACGGTTGTGATGTCTCAGTTATTAGTTAGATGTTTCACTCAATCGTTGACATTTGTCAGTATAGTCGCCGGCTATTTCTCAATCCAAGGGGCTAGAAAGTTCCGGAAAACAATTGTTTATTCGGAGGGGTATATTTGTCAATTCTCACGTTGCTCCAAACCCATCTCACTGGGCCGCGTTGGGCTTTTTTTTTTTAGGCCGAAAACAACTAGAAGAGGGTTGATATTATAATATAGACGCTTATCTGAAATGTCATTTTTTGTTAATTAATCGCTGCAACTAATGTTTCTTAGCACCCAAGTAGACGAATCTCTCGAAGCCTCCAGTGAATCTGATTATATCTTTATATATAACATAGGTTAACCTATGAAATCAAAAGCAGCTGCAAATCAGAAAGTTCCAAAACATCCAAATCTGGAGGAAAAGACTTGATCACTAAGCTCTACTCATCCAAATGTGTCTTTGTATCTTAAAAAGGGATAGAAAGTGGAGTTAGATGCAAAACATGATCTATCTTTTTCTCGATCCAAGCCAATCTTCTCTCAAAGCTCAACACACTTCTATGCATATTCCTTGCATCAATCTCAGCGACCATAGCACAAACCCGTAAAAGAATGTAGTAATCAGCATGAGCCGCGTATATCAATGCTCCATCATCATTTTTCCTCACATATTGAAGATAGTCTAGTCTCTTTACCTTCACTCGAGGCGGTATGTATTGGAACAAATTGTCCCTCATGTCTGTTATTAGTCTTCTTATCACTTTCTCCTTGGATTTCTCTTCGTGATTATGCTTATCTGGTGATGAAACACTTTCCAAAGATGGCTCATCACAATCCGTTGACCCGGTTTCGCTTTTTCTTGAACGACTGCTACAAGGGTTGTTTCTGTCCCTCAACTGGCCGACGTTCATGGACAGTTGGTTAAGTGATAAATCATTGTCTTCCCAGTCTCTTGGATGGAATCCCAAACCGTTCAAATTCCTGCCAAATGCGATTTACAAAGAGATGGTTTATAATCAAGAACATCATAAATTACAGTGTCGAAGATTTTTCAAAAAAATCGAGTAAATTTCACATCATATTCCATAGTAGAATTTAAAACAACATAGAAAGATAAACATGCCTCACCTGGTCTTTCGGGTAACTATTCCACAGATTATCAACAGTTCTGTATGTGTCATCAGCTGATGCTTCTTCTAAGCCAGCAAAGATCTCGTTTTTCCCATGCAATAAATATGACAAAAGATCCTTTTCATGTTCTGCAAAAGAAAAGGGCATTCAGGAAGGTTAGGATCTAGAGAGATGAACATATCATCACAGGGAATAAAGGAATTTACCAACGGTTTCAGCAGCGACCTCGTGATATTTCGTTTCAAGGTTTTTCAAAAGCTCCTCAGTTGCTTTGGTGACATCCTCCTCACTAGCATCAAGCAAACCCAAGCTTTGTTCCCATACACCAAAACCATTGATATTATAAAGCATCCGAATAGCTACGATAATAATAGACATGACATAGACACGAGTGGGAAGCCTGAGCTCGTTCTTTGATAGATACAAATCGGAAGGCATTGACCAGTTGTGTAAGAGACGGACCAGATCAAGAACCTTCTCCTTGGGAATAGACAACCGCTCTAGATAGTTTGAAGCTATAGCATAGAAATTCACAGGAGGCAAAGGCAAACCGATGATATCAGCAATGGAAGCAACTTGAGCTTCTAATCTCTGAGCAGAAACAATCTGACTAGGCTTAAACATCACGCTTACAGACACAGGACACGCAGCTGATCTGTCTCCCATTTGCTCTCGAATCTTGAGAAAAGAAGAAAGATACGGAAACTTTCCTTGTCGTGCCCATCTAACTATATCCGTGGGTGTTCCAGCTTTGTGACAAGCAAGGAAAGATAAAGCCAAAGAAGACGATAAAGGCAGAGACTTTTTAAGCTGACTTAACCATATCGTTACTGCTCTTTTACCATATAAGTTTTGAGGTTCTTCGGAGGCTTTACCACGCTTAACCTCTGGCTCTCTTACTTCTCCTGAAAAAAACTCAAAACATCAATGACTGGAAAAAAAAAAAAAAAAAAAAGAGAAAATGTGAAGCAATTAGAGAAGAGGCAAAGCAACCCTCTGATTGGAGCTCGGATTCAAGAATCGCCTTATCAGCCCAATCATCATCGACCAAACCAATAATCAATGGCGTCACATTGAATTTCTCAACCAACGCATCGCACTGATAAGTTATCATCATCAGTAAACCTTTGACGTATCTATCTCTGGTCTCCTTGTAATAATCCTCGTAACTCAATTTGACAGGCTCTGGGTTTGGTGCTGGTTCAGGGCGAGTGTCTTGTTTTCGATAAGTTCCGCCACCGCCGGCTCCGCCCAAATCTTCGCCGTCGACGCCTGTTTGGATAATACCGTCCGCCTGAGTAGAGCATTGTAGGCAGTAAAAAAAACCATCTCCTCCATCTTCAAAGCTGTCGCTCTCGCAAATATGGCAAATCATCGTCGTTGATGAAGAATGACAAGATTGCGTCAACGAAACACTCTTCGGGCGTTCAGGACTCTTAAGAAGAATAAATGGGCCGTAGGCCCGCCCCTTCTTCACGCCTACTTTATTATATAAAGTTGTAGGGAATCCGAAAATTTAGGCTATCAAATTTAATTATTAAGTAATTAGACAGAATAACTCATTAGGAAAAGTCATATGCTGCGATTTGTATTCTCTAAATGTTCGAATTACTGAAGACTAGAGATTTAGGCCATGAATATTTACTAGTTTTTAAGTGGTTTTTTGGTTTTTAAAATTTTGGTTTTTGGTTTTTTGTTATAAATATAAAAATTAATTAAAAAATCAAAAAATCAAAAAAAAAAACATAATCACGTTGAAAAATAAAATTTTCCACAAAATCATGATACTCTTTGAAACTTGGAAAAACCACTCAAAAACTAGTTTTTCTAAATTTTATGAAATCTAGTTTTTTTAAATCTTGAATGGTGAAAAAATAGATTTTTTCATAAACAAAAACCAAAAGTTACTTAAAAACTACTCCCTCTGTTCCACAAAATTTGATGTTGTGGGTTTCTTTTTTGTTCCACAAAGATTGATGTTTTGTATCAATTTTATTATTATTTTTATGTGTGGCCAATAGAGAGAGAGGAGAGAAATAGAATTAATATTATTAAACAAACAAAATAGTAATTAAAAAGTATAAAATTTATATTTTCTTAATTTGTGTGCAAAATACACAACATCAAACTTCATAGAACAGAGGGAATAGTAATCATTCAAGGCCTTATTTTGAGAAGCCTATTTACAATGCTTCCATATAAAATAAACATACTACAGTAAAACCTCTATAAATTAATACTCTATAAATTAATAACCTCGTTAAATTAATAAATTCTTCCGGTCCCGAGTAAGTACCAGTGTAAAATATGACATAAATCGATAAATTAATAAAATAATAATTTTTTTGAAAATCTCATGTAAACATATGGTCCCATCTATATCATAAATTAATAATTGTATTAACTTATCAATATATATATATACATTATATAAATTTATATATGTTATATATGAATTACTATGATATATATTTAAAATATTATATGTAAAAAATTTGATGAAATATGACTCTATTATTCGAAAAAAGTTTGTGTTGTTTTTTAAACTTAATAATTGTTTCTCTACTTGTAATTAGTTTTTAAAAGATATTGTTAATAAAGAAAAATTTTATATTTAGATAGAATTTTTTTTAAGAAATTACAAAATTAGCAAAATCTCTCTATAAATTAATAATTATTAATTTATCGATAAATTAATACCTCTCTAAATTAATAAAATTTCATAGTCCCAACATTATTAATTTATAGAGGTTTTACTGTAGTTCGAAAAATGAAAATAGAACGCATTTACTTTAGTTGTTACATACATACTTTAGCATTAGGTATAGACGTGTATAGTTATTTATTAATCTAATTGAGATAGGTCTATTGTATCTTACTAGGATCGGACATATATATTGGTTTACATGTAATGTTGTGATGTTGATTTTAATATTGTGCATATTTTTAGTAGAGCGAATCGTGTAGTGTACTTATAAATATTTATAATAGCGAATTGTTGAAAAAATATTAAATTGTTTATAATTAAAACCCATCATATTAATTATGATTTAGCCGCAAAATGGAAATTTATGTTTACGAATTTTAAAATTAGACAATTCATAGAACTAGAGCCGTCAAAATAGGTCAAAAAGTGGTCTCATGGATTGATCTGCAGTGGGTCATAGGTTTAAAGAATTCTTAATAAATGAAATTAATATTTATAAAATTAATGATATATAAGATTATTTTCTCTTCATTTGTTGTAGTAGTATTTTTAATTTTTATTAAATATAAAACTATTTGAACTTAAGATTTATATTCGTGATCAAGAACAACATGGGTTTTGTTGGACGTATGCTTTATTTGATTCGATTAGTGCTTCAAAAGTACTAAAAGGCTTGGAAATGGAATTTACACATTTGTGTACACATTACTTGTGCGAACGTGTTTGTTCAGTTGAGTTAAGAAGAACTCTTGTACCTGAAGATAAAGGGCATCGTTGCTATGATCGTAAAATTTTACTTGTAACATTGTACGTTTAAACGCACAGAATACCGATAAAAATACATGACCACAAAGAATTGTAACACATAGAAGACTTATTTCATTACTACACATTGGAGCAAACACTAGTCCATTTGAGAACATGTCTGGTTTCTGCATCTATGATAACTTTCCAAGGTTGGGATAAGCGTGAGATTTACCGTGTTCCTTGAAGAAATGGGCTAAATGTGAAGGTCTGCATGCGGTAGTTATTGTTACGTTGATTGTATAAAAATAGATGGGGAAATAGGTGATAGGTACATGTATATATCTCTTGAAGTATTTTTCATCAAGACTGGTTTGACCCGAAAAGCTAAGAAAAACACATTCTCTTATATTGAACCTAGTGTTGTGCCTACAGATTTAAAGGACTAAGGTAACATTTAAGAATGTGACAGTTTAGATTAACAAATAAGGGGTTAAATATACTTAAACTTAAAATTTGAAAAAAAAAAAGCATTGAAAATAGAAAAAAATCTCTAATAAATGAATAATTAAGTATTAGTATTGTACGAATAAAACTTTGAAATATTGACCATTAAAAGAAGGATTTGAGTAGTTAGACTAAGATAATTTCCATCAAACATGGTCTATAATTTACTATATTTAGTATGGCCTCAGGCATTTGCCCTTTTTCACCCATTGTTTCTCCAAAAGACTAGTTGCAGATGGCTGATTATGGTATAACGTGTGGAAGTCGAAACTAACACAATCGAGATTTGTCTAGGGTTTTATTTTAGGGATACGATATGCAAGAATTCTCAAGAACAACAGAAAGAATTGTAACCAAATATGGTGTTCTTGATATTATTGATGAAAAGAATAGCTTTGATCGTACAAGGAGTTAGATCGTAAAAAGAAAAGTGATTTTGCTTCAGAGCTTTGTGTAGTCTAAGTCTAGAGCGTTATTGCTTGTGTTCTGTGAGAGCTTTGAGTCTCTTTATATAGGGATGGTAAACCGCCCCTCCAGCAATATTCTCGGAAGATTTCCATTTATCTTAAAGTCGGCTTAGAATATCGCGGATTAGGATACTTTCCTTATTCTTCGGAGTTTCCGGAAGTTTTCCTGATTTGAGTTGATCCTTCGAGATTACCATTTTCGAGTATTTCGGAAATAATCCTTCTTTTTCGGAAATGATGCAATCCTGCTCGGAAATGATACTATAAAGGTGACTATTTACCAAGTCCTTGCCTCGGGTGACTGATGACTTCGCCTCGGGTTGCTTGGAGATTGCCTGGTGTATCCGGGTCGGGACATGATGACGATGTGATACATTACCCGAGCCAAGGCAATCTTGAGATGACTGGCTCGGATACCCCCGAGGTGACGGGCTCGGGTACCCCGAGGTGATGGGTTTGGGTACCCCCGAGGTGATGGGCTCGGGTACCCCGAGGTGATGGGCTCGGGCACCCCGAGACAATTGGGCTCGGGTACCCCGAGACGACTGGGCTCGGGTACCCCGAGGTGATGGGCTCGGGTACCCCGAGGTGATGGGCTCGGGTACCCCGAGGTGATGGGCTCGGATACCCCGAGGTGATGGGCTCGGGTACCCAAGCCGATTGGCAGGATACCCGAGCAGATTGGACGAGTACCCCGAGCTGGTTAATTTGCAGGTCAACTCAAGGTGTTGAAGTCTGGCTCGGTACCAAAAGATGGATGAAATCCGACCCCAACATAACGTAAAAGATTAATGTTTTAAGACTAATCAATTTTAATTTCTTGACAATATATATTTAGGTTAAATTCCTTATTTTACTGTAGTTTTAAAATTTGAGGACTATTATTTGATTAATAATAATAGTTTAGATACGTCCATTTTGGACAACCATATTTTGAAAATTATGATAACAATATTAGGAACAGGTAGTTTTTGTTTTTAACGTCTTCCATATATTAATATAAAGAACAGTAATAAAAGAAAGGTAATATTACTGAATGGCCAAATTAGACAAACAAATTAAGTAAATAGCAGAGAAAAAACTTTTTGTTGCAAACTAGCCATGGTCCTACGTTGTCAGAAGAAGTGAAATAACCAAACCAACTTTTGTTTGTTGCAAGTTCAACGCAAAACAATTTCGTGAGATTTTACAAAATAGCATGTAACATTTAAAGTTCACATGTTATATTGAACTGAAAAACATGATATTTGAAAAAATATAGTGATTTTTTAAGAAAAAACATTGGCATAGAAAAATTTAACTTGAATAGAATCTTTTTTAAAAAAAATTACATGTGATCTTAAAAAATACGTGTATTATTACAAAATAATAATCTTTTTTTAAAGAAATCACATGTGATCTTTAAAAAAAACATGTATTACTACAAAATAACATGATAAAGAGAGATATTAAACTAAATAGAATGTTTTTTTCAAGAAATATCATGTGCTCTTTATAAATAACGTGCAATACGAGAAAATAACATGATAAAATAGATATATTATGTTATCACATGTAATTCGAGAAAAAAACGTGTTACAAAGGATACTTACGTAATTACACATGCATTCCGACATGTTACAGACAAGTTACTGTAGCTCATGGTTAGTTTGTATATTCTTTTTGAATCCATGGTTACTTTGTATATATTCCCATAAAAAAAAAGAAAAAAAAAAGAACATGTAGTTAGTTTAGAAGCTAAAAATACTAAAATAATAATTCCAAGATGTTGAAAATAATTTGGATATTAGGTTTGATACGAGAAATTCACGATACAATACTTACTATTTGATACAAATTGAGATGCTGTTAGGAATTTTGTCCATGGATAGTAAAGTGTATACTAATGGTACTATATTTAATTTTATTTATGATTTACTTTTTCCTTCGATTGTCTAAATTTTGGAAATA